TATATATATATATATATATAATGCACGTTCGTTGCAGTGAATAAAGAAGGGGGCGGGGGTTGGGGGGTTAAATAGTGCGTTTATTACTAGTGCCTTTTGCCATACTCTTTTATTTGTTTTGTCGTACCGTTGTATCTTCAACTGTACTGCAGGTGGGTTATGTGGGTAATGCGGTACAGCAAATGACTTAGCTCGCGCCTGCAAAACTGACAACTGTTCCGTTCTTCATCTATTCAAAAAAGCTTGATAAAATATCCATTGAAAGGTCTAGCGACTGGAACGACGGGCCCACATTTGTGGGCGTCTGGATCCCTTCTTGACGGTGTCGCTCACCGCCAACAACTAGAGACACAACAGTAAAGTGCTGCTCCTGCCCAGATTAACTGGTGTTTCAGAGAACAACTAGACTCAATAAAAACGCCAACATCACCTAACGTCATGATTCTTCAAGAAACCGCATTTCCTCTCGCTCTTCTCCACCAGAAGCCAAATCAGCTGCTCCGTCTGGGGGGTTCAGGCACTTCGGCTGTTGGGCTGACTGGCTTTGAACGCCGTTGCCGCTCAAAGCGGCTTCTTCCACTCCAGAGTGGTCACAATGGGCATCCGAATTGTCTAGCAAACACGGTGAAGGGGCACTTTGACACCCATTGTCACTCTGCACCATAGTGGTCACCAATGCAGGTTCTAACTGCGGCGACCTCTGAACCGTGCTCGCGCCTCCAGAAACCGCTGAAGTCTTCGTTGCTGCATCGGCAGCCTCCGGCCTTGGATGCGGGGGGATATGCTCGCAAGCCATGCTGTCTAATACATCTCCTGGGCCACTGGATCTGCGCTGCTGGCCGTTCGTCAGTGCGGACTTCTCCAGCGGTGGAGAAAGAGCAGGCTCACGCGCTTGTTTCCCGCCAGCCCTGCCTAGAAACAACGCGGCTGCTTCTGTAGGTTGCGTGTTTGTACGGATAATGCGCCCGTGCAGCTGCTTAGGTGGTGGAGCTGCTGACGCTCCACTCCAACCGCGCGAGTACGAGACAGGCCTCCTCGCCTGCGCTGAGGAATCGTTGGTACTGGAGTTGCCCCCAGTGCCGACGCGTCGCATTGGCTTGCCAGGGAGAGGTAGCGCTGTGTTCGGTTGTCGCGAACGGCTACCTTTTGTGAGCTGGCCTGAAACCGTCTGGCCTGTCAACAACGTCGGGCACGGGATGGACCTGTCGCTGCCTTGGCTGCCCATATCCGCGGCTTCAAGGTGCAGCTGCTTTCCTGCACCTAATCCATGCAACCGGTTGACCTCTACTTGCCGTACGCTCCTCTGGGGTTGTGCTGTGCCCTCAGAAGCGTTAACGCGTCGCGCTGCCTCCTGTGCCTTCACTGCTGCCTCCGCTGCCACAGCAGCAGACGACGCCTTGGCTACCATTGCGCGCAGAGGAGCGGCCTCTCTTTCCAACGACAGCAATGACGATTTAGCTAGGGCCTGAAAGACGCACAGAAAAACATGCTCAGAGGAGCCTTCCGTCAATCACATCGGAAGAAGTTATCCTAGTAATTGCTCATCTGCTACTAAAACCAGTGGCGCAGGCTTGCAGTCTGCTGCTGCCGTGTAAAATGCAGATAGCATGCGCCGTTTACTGCAGTCGTTGGTAGTTCGAGTAAACTAACAGCCGCTCGTACATGCCGAGTTGGCTGACGCTGTTGAAGTGTTGTACTGCTCACTGTCTTATCTGTAGCCACTTGTTTAAAGGGCCACGTTTCTAACAACCCAGCCATCACCCGAAGGGCGTCTACCTTTTCTTCAGTATGGAAGCCACTCCTGTATTACATACGCTCAAAGCAGCGCAGGCGCTTCCCCGGGTGCAAGAGTCCATCGAATGATTTCACCAGCGTGCTTCGAACTGACACTTTTGCATATCACTAGTGAGCACTATCTGTCGTCGCACCAACATATCGGCGACAACTGACGACTATTACTTCTGAAACTATGCACTTTATTTGCATGTGCTGTCAACCCATTACAGAGCCAGTTAAACACGGAATGACACCTCCAGCTGAAGCATCCAGTGCAACTGACCAGGCGTCTGTTAGAAGCGGCACTGTAGAGTGAATGTTCTTGAGGATCTGGCAGGCCTGCTCCAGCCGCCGTTCGGTCTCTGTAGGCACATGACCCGGGACGCTAGCAGCCTCTGCTGCGGGTGGAGCCTGCACCCTTCGAACGAACGTAGTCTCTCCACCTCCTGTTCCTGAGGAAGCAGAGGACGAGCGAGAGGTAGTTCGCGAGGTTGCGGATGCCCCACCCAGCAGCTTTCCATGCACACTCCTGTAAAACCGGCTAGCCATAGACACCTCCTGCTGCATATGTCTGCCCATGTCCGCCAATTTGTTTTGCCGCCCGGTCAAATCGTCATAGTACAGTGTAACTGCATAGCATCAAGCAATACGCACAATGCAACGTTTACGTGCATGAGAGCACGTATGCGTCGATCCCTGCTTGCGTGCACATATATGCTAACAAGAGCTTCCCCCTAGATACGTGCGTATGGCAAGAATGCAAAACGCGCAGAACCTTATAATAGACACACAAATTATAGCATAGCAAATTCAAGGAGACACTGATAGCTGCAGCCCAAACTTCACTAAAATCCTTTATCTCACCAATAGCAATTGCAGCTTCGAGTCCATCGGATGCTGGGCTGGTGTCCTGCGAGTTTCCAGCGCAACATATAAAACAACTCGGGCAATTCAGCGGCAGTCACATAAGGTGTACATTCTAGCGGTATTGATGCAACACAGATTGATGTAGGAGACAACTGAGGATCTGCAGTAACAAGTTTGGGGACACTGTTTAGCGGCAGCTACGACGAGTTGTTTAAGTCATGTGCGTGTGCGGGAGCCAGATGGCGGTAGGTGGGCAAGAACCTGTTTTTCTGCTGCTGCTGCTGCTGCCGTAGGAGACTGCGAATGGGATGCGTCTGTGCTGGGGCTTAGGGTCTTTCTTGAGGGAGTTCTGAAGATCTTTTGTTGCTTCATCATCAGCAGCTGCCTTCGCCAGTCTCGCGGAGGTCCGCGAGGGGCCAAATCCGCGTCCTCGCAAATCGCACAGTCACACTTCTGCGTTGGGGCAGCGGCCGTTGATGGGCATGAGGCAGGCGAGATGGCGGTGCTCTTTGCATCGCTCGGGGAAGAGGAAGAAAAGGGGGCGGTGCCACCGTATATTTCTGTCTTCAACCGGTTCGGGAACGTGCTGTCCACCTCTGCACCCTCACCATTCGCGGTGGGGCCGATCTCCCCCTCGCATGCTGCGACCCCCGATACACTAAGAATGAGGTGCAGCAGAGAAAATCCCTGCAGGGCAGGGGGACAGATGCTGGCGGCATTCTTGAGACAAGCGAAGTTGAAGTCGCCGTTGTCCTTCCAGACTGCGAACTCCCGTAGGGCAGCATCGCAGCTTTTGCTTGTTTTCCATATTCGTGTACACCACGGCGTCGGGGCTGTAGATGCTGTAATGCCTGTGGTCTCTTTCTCAGCCTCCGTCCCTCCTGCCCCCTCAAAGGCCTCAAAAGTGCAAGCTCGGTTCATTTCTTCATGGAGGGCAGCGCAGGTCGCACACAAAGTGCGCAACACGGTGGACCTCCGCAGCAAGCAAAGAGACGCCTCCATGCGGTCCAGCCGGCGGCAGGCAGCCTGCCATTGTACGTCGAGGCCCAACACGAATTGCATCATTGCCACGCGCTTCCGTCCTTGAGGCAAATCTGCAAACGGGAGGAACTGCGGCCATGCCCCAAGACACCCACAGTGTGAAAGCAAGCAGCCTCTCAAATACATCAAAGCATCAAACAAGCAAGAAATCAAGACTGTTTTCGGCACCAACGCATTGGAACGAAAAACTTGCCTTTTGCTCTACAGGCGACAAAGTGTGGACGTCCCCTTGTCGTTGCAGCAGACGTCTGCAGGACTCCTCGGAAGGCCATGCTTGACCAAGCACCTCCATGTCAGTGGCCAGAAGCTTCACGTCTCCCTCCCACGTGCAGTTGCTGGGGTGCGCTAAAATCTCTTGCAGCCGTGCGCTGTCTCCAGTATATTGCGTCGTAGTCTCTAGGAGTCGACGCGCAGCATCAAGAGTCGCTTGGGGCAGATCGAGGTGCTCCAGCACCGTGCGCAGCGGGAAGATGCACTTGCCGATTGTTTGCAGTGCCTCGTCCAATTTCCCATACTCCTCCTTCGAAAGTGCTTCCTTGCGCTCCAGTCGCCGGAAGGCTCCGGGATTCCTTCTGGGCTAAACAACCACACCAGGCAAATCCAGCGCAAGCAGGCGGGGCATTACCTAGTACAGAGCCATTAAACGCCTAACAAGCAGTAATGCAATTCGCAGACACTGCACTCGAGCTGAATATAACGACCGCCAGCTCACCGAGGGGTCTACAGAGGTCGGGTCCTCCAAAAGCGGAGGGTCATCTCCAGAGAAAGCCGTGTCCCTTGAACCTGTGCACAGGGAACCCGCAAAAACGCTCTGCAGCAGAGGCGCATGAGCTGCTGCAGGACATTCTTCTCCCCTCCACGTATGGTAAGAAGAGATGACAACAGAATGGGAAGTCACATATGAACAAAACGCTCAAGCAAAAAGAGCCAACTGCGGAACAAGGAGGTAACTGTGCGTTAGAGACCAACAAAAGCCCATGGTGACATATTGTGCGTGTGGTAGACAAACGTACTGTGGTTCAATTGGGACTCTGTGTCATCTGAAGTGTTGCCTGAAGCGACAGTATTTGAGGAGTGGGAGAGATTGGGTGAGAATCGACATCCGAGACTACTGAAGTGTGTTTTGTGTAGGTTGACGGTTTTTGTATCGTTTTCAACATTTTGCTTGATCCCGTGGGTAATGTCATCGAGCTTCGACAAGAGCCCGCCCACGACGAGATTCGGTGCGGTGTCCTCAGTCTGCTCTACAAGCCTTTTTGGCTGGACCCGCGGAGTCTCAGACGGAAGGTCGACGAGGCTGGGGGATCCCCGTGAGGTGCTGGTGGCCACCTGAGTCAACTTCGACCGGAGTGTATTTATCTCTGCCGTTTTGTTGGCTAATTCTTCGGTCTGTTTTTGAAGCAGCTGCGCCATCCGCTTGATATGCCCTTTGTCTTCCGCCTGAGCCACGTTGGCTTCCTGTTGCTGCCCTCCGTGGGCCCGTCTTAAACCCTCAAGGGCTCGGGAAGCCTCTGCAAGGTCTACCTTGAGCCGCTCGCACTCGGCACGCGCCTCTCCTTCTCTTCCTCTCCACAGTGCAGCCTCTGACACCAGCTGCTGCTGTCGTTGGTCATGGGCCAAGGCATCGGTATCCCGCTTCTGCTGCAGCTCCATTAGTTGGCTTTGGGCTCCGCGGAGTTGCCTTTGCAATTCCCCCAGCTGTTGCTGAGCCTTTTGCAGCTGCTCAGCGTACACATTCATCTGTTGTTCCGCGGCTCCATGTACTTGCTGCTGCAAATCTTTCACACGGGGATTGCCCTCCAGTTGTTGCTGCTGCCGTTGCTGCTCCTGGTTCTGCTGCTTCTGCTGGCCCTTTTCTGTATCGTTGTGTTGTTTACCATGGTCCTGGTGATGGGTCTGCGGCGCCTGTCCCCTGCAAATTTCACCTGGCGATGCAAGCCTGTGCCGGGAATCTGCATGAGGCTTCACTGGCAGTGCGTGTGGGCTGGTGTCTCCGTTAACCTCAGGAGGTGTCAAGATTGTCTGTGTCCGGGCCGCTTCTTTCAGTTTTGCAATGAGCTCCTCCGCCAGTGTGGCCCTGCAGCGTTCTTTCTCCAGAGATGCCTGTAACTCCGCTATGACTCCGTTTTGCTCCTGTAGCTTCTGCAAGAGGGTGCTAGGTGCAGGTGAGTCGCTCCCCGAAGGACTGCTGCTGCGCACTTTCCAGTGCCCCCGCGATACGCCTAGTAGCCCTACGCCGCCATCGGCCTGGTTCACGCGAGAGGAGGCAAATGGCCTCCTGACCAGGCCTCCCAGTCTGACCACCAAGTTCAGCAGAAGACGCAGAGCTGCTGCTGCGAGGACGCATCCCAGCATCGAACCCACAGCTACAGGATCAATTATCTTGAGAGGCTGTGACCGCTGCAGCACCAGCGCTGGCTCTCGCAGAGGAGGGGGCCAAGCCAGCAAGGTAGCTACCTGGGAAGAAGGCAGCCGTAGCAGCAGCACTGTGGACAACACAGACAGCCGCAGCGGCTGCAGCGTGACCCACGTGAACATGACAAATTCACGGTCCGACAGCAGCAGCACCCAGCAAGTCAGACAAGCAGCTAAAATCTCGAGCCCTACATTCCCTCGACTGCGCCGTATGCCCACTCTGGGGCGGCAGCTACTGCTGCTGCACTTTGCAGCCTTGGTGTGCCCGTTCCTTTCACACTCAGAAGACGTTTTGCCAAGGAGATGCCCCCAAACCAATCTCACGAGAGCAACACCCCGAGATGTTGCTGCTGCTGCACCCCACAGCAGCGCGAGCAACACGAAGGCAACTGCAAATGCAGTCAATGCGCTCTTGCACGCAACACCCAAGCTTTCGCCCAACGGCCTCGTCGTGGAGCCATCCTGTAAGCTCCAGATGAACCAGGTATGTCTGATTGCCGCGAAACCCGCAAGACAGACCCTATGCAGCGCTGCTGACAAGGAATAGACGAGCAGCAGAACCAGCGCCAAGCAGTACGGCCCTATTTCCACTGCGCTTCCCTCACCTCCAAAGTCAGGTGGAGCCTCAGCGACAATATGCCGCCACGCAGCAGCCTCCTCCTCCCTACAAATACTGCCGCCTGTCCTCTCGCCACACAAGAAAGTGTGCGCAGCGCTCGGAAGACTGCGGACTGCATTCTGAACAGCAGTTTGCAACCACATAAGCCATCCTTCCTGAGGGTCCCCACTGTCTGGAGAAACTTCAGGGGCATCTGAAAGGCTGCAGGTCCCGTTGACACTAGCAAAAAGGCCGGTGTGGCCCAAGACGGCCACAAACGGCTGCAAGAGAAAACTGTTTATCCAGAAAGTAAAACTTCGCAGCAACAGCAGCACCCGCCCGAACTTCTGCTGTGCTGCAGAGTGCAGCAGCCAAAGAAGATAGTCCGACGCCTCGCGCCCTCGAGCTACCGCTGTTGCGGCAATCTTTACGTGCTGCGGCGAGTCGGAGTTCAGCAGCAGAGGTGATAAGCCCCCGCCTAGCCAAGTCTGAGTTGACGGCAGGGCCGTCCCTCCTCCACCCTGCAGTGCCTGCAGTCCCTCTTGCGAGTCTTCCCACACCACCGAGGCTGCCCAGAAGGCCGCCAGCAGCAGCAACAGGTAAAAAGCGCAGTGCCAATAACGCAGAGGCATCCGAGTCCAACATCTGTACCCCAAACGACCAACAAACGCAGACAGCCTGCCCTGGTCGAGCTTCTTGGCCTCGGGATCTTCGGATAGATCAGTGCTCCTGGGACAAAGTGACAAACAAGACAAAAGGAAGTAGGAAAAATATACGCAGCAGACTGCACATACAATGCCAATAGTCTGTAGCTCGTTGTTGCATCTCAAAGTTGCATAATTACGCATGTCTATATGCGTGAAGTGTCCTGCTTTTGACACCAAAAGCAACTACTAGACCCAACTACGCAAGAGGTAAGTGCTGAGGGACGGCAGAGGATAGCCTAGGGGCTGTAATGCTCTCCTCACATGTAGCGCGGCAGCACCATGCGCAGAATGCAACACAGAAGCCATCCCAGATGCAGGCGAGATAGAGCGATGGCGGCGATGAGCAGAAGGGGCCGGCCGTTGGGTTGGAAAACAGCAAGGGAGATCCATGACACTAACAGCAACACTGACTGGAAGGCCAGCTGACGGAGGCCGAGATGATGCTTCCCGGGACTATCCTTGCCACAATCATTGCCAGCATGTGACGAATTTGACTTCGCATCCTGCTGAATATCTTTGAGGGCATCTGTGGGTCTCAGCGCCTCGTTAGCCAATACTCCAGAGGGGCCCTCCGCCCTCGTTGACCTATCTTGTGTTGACTGTTTTGCAAAGGGTGGGAAACCGTACGCCTCTGCGTTTGCAGTTACCACAGCAGCACCCTCAGCTTCATCCTCTCTTCTTTCGGTGGAGCCCGCAGCTGCTGGAGATGCGATTACACGATATGCGTGTAAGTTGGCTTGCACGGGCGCTGCGCGCTGCGAACCCCCTAAGTGAGCATGGCTTTGGGGCAGCATTCGCAGAATGCGGCCTCTGAAGTGCCACTAAAGCTGGAGGCGGGCTTGGGAAGAGGCACTTGGGAACCAGCGGAGTGACTCACTACCACCTCACAGATTCACCTCACAGATTCGCTGAAGTTACGCCTGGCACTGTACTTTGAACTTTATATCACCCGCAATGGCGCCCCTCTGACCCTCTTCTGAAGCTAGGCAAAGCCGACTCAAAATCGTGTCTACGGACCTGCCATGCTTCCCTGTTACTGTGGGTACCGACAAAGGAGAAATAGTGTTTTGGAGAAGGCGGCCACTCCAGTTCCAGAGCCGCAGCCTTCCTAGGACACCTAGCAGAAGCAGAACAAGTGTAGATTGGCTATGTAAGGTCGCACATATGAAGAAGCTGTCAAAAATACCACTGCGCGGCTAATCCGCTTTAGAAGCCGCTTTGTGGAATGCTGAAATTCAACAGTGCAGCAACGAGCAGCACCCGCATGCTGCTGCTGTTAACGAAGATTAGCAAGGCAAGAAACAAAGCACGCAGACTCGCAAGATGAATTGCAGTCAAAACCTGCTGCCAAAGAGCGTCGCAGCTTCGTTAGCATCAGACTGGACCACTTGCACCTTACGCTGAACACGCCGACAACGTCCGTTCTTTGCCTACTTTGCATCTGCCATCAATCAATTTACAATGTGCATTGATCTTCATCCACATATCTACCTGTCAGTAAACCAAAGCCAGCCGACCAGTGCTGGTTTCCGGCCCCACGCCACTGCTACCGATACGTCGGGTGTAGTGCACAGGCACTACAATGTGTCTCAGGTGTGTCCCCTAGCGGCATTAGGTTAGTAAAGGGAATAAATATTAAATATTTTAGGGAACAGTACAATATTACCTATAAAAAGGAATTTATACTACTAGATGTTCCAGGGATTAGGATACAGTTAGATAGAGTCATTGCTTAGTAGGGTCAGTGAGCCAGCTATCCCCACGCCTGCCGTCTAATGCAGTGCTTAGACACTTTGGGCACCAGATATGACTTCTAGAGATCTAATAAATGGAAAAGAAATAAAAACTATTTATTATGTCAGTGATTATGGCATTTTTATGTAGATAGCAGCTTTATAGGTCAGGCTCCTGACTGTGTTGTCGCTGCTTTGATATTTCCCCGCTATTTTATAGGTCGGGCACTGATCCCCAGTGAAGACCGGGGGTCAGTTCTGATTATTCTAGTCAGTCAGTTCTATTATTCTGGGAACTTACCTCGCTTATAATAGATGGTGGGAAGTTTTGGATATTTAATTATTGACTTCTGGGAATGTGAGTTAGGATGTAGTCAGGTAGCCCGATGCTACGAGATGACAAAAGTAGGCACAGCTTAGGACTGCTGCGCGCAACATTTGGGGTTCGTTACCGGAAATTTGTTTATATTTTTTACCCATTAACCCCTTTTTGAGTGTTGATCCCACTCTCCCTACCATTATCCGCAGCATAACTGAAGAGCTAGGGGTGAAGGCGTGGGGAGCCAGTTTGTGATTGTACTAATACGGGGAGCACACCTTGTGGGAAGGACAATGGGGTCCATCTCCGACACGGAAATTCCATTGCAGACTGCAGTAAATTATTATCAGGAGTCGACTACACCTGGAATGGAGTACCTCCTTAGGACTCTTTCACTTTCAAAATGAGGATGGAATGAATATGATGTGGTTCCTTCGTCATATGGAGTTGTTGTTTATGGAGGTCAGTTTACCTCACGACCATTGTTTATACGAACTTCGCGGGTACTTACGATACTGGTCCTACTTGTGGGATACCCAGGCAAGTATGATGAATTGGGAAACTCTCAACGCTCTAGGCACACTAGATTCTTATTGAGACGTGCTTGTTTCGTGTTTATATGAAGTCATATGGCACGGTAGTGCTGTAAAGTATGCCTCCGAATTCTGTGTGTGGGAGAACCCTTACTGCGCGAACGGCAAGTGGCCATTCTTTTAGCTAACTTGCCTGACGAGATCGCCCTGAAGGTAACAAGTGAGGGCCAGATTAGATTCACAAGATGGGAACAGGCTGGCTGGGAATTAGAGAAGGTAGTGTGGTCTAGAGAGGAGACACTGGCACACATCTACGGCGAACTAGGCAGTATTTAGAGGACATGCATCGGACCGTTGGAGGTGAGTCCTATAGGGAACAACGAAACAGCTGCTGTTCATCCGGGGCATGGGCATGAGAGAGCACCGAATGCACCTATGGCGTTCTCTTCAGCTTTTGCGCCAGAAGCAGTTCTTCGTAAAGGCAAAATTTATTTCCATTTTTTGCAAACAATTAGCTGTAGAGGGTTTCGCCTTGGGTCGAATCAGAATCAGAAGAGGTAGGACTCATTGGGAGATTGACGCTACCCTTGTACGGTAGCACGGCCGTTCATAACCGTTTCTTGATCCTTCATTGACTACAGCAGTTTCATGGGACTGGTTAACCAGTATAACCCATTTGTTTGGAGAGAGTGACGATGCGTCGGTTGTGCTCCGGCTGCCTGATTTCGATAAACCTTCCTTAACAGCGAAATCCAATGACACAAAAACTGAGTTTGCGCACTAATACGTTTGCGATAATTGGGTGCTTTTCCGACATATTTTCAGCAAGAAGACAATTCGAAAAAACACAAATATCCCTGGCTGCTCACATCGTTTCATGAAGAGAGAACACGGACTGGTGGGAAGTAAATAACTGTCGTATTTACTTAAAATGCTGGCTCTCCACTGTTGAAACAGATAGTCAACCACCGACACAGATGGCAAAGACTTCACAAGACTACGATAACGAGAGGGTTACTCGGCTCCTGCGCACGGGCATGCAGGACGACTTCACTGTCAAGTATATGAAGGATATTGACAACGTGGTCCTTGACACTCTCTCCTGAAGTCCCACAGGCCATGTATTGTGATCCGCAGTTGCGCTTGCGTGCAAATTGCACTCATTCTACTCCTTACACACTACTCCTTATATGCACATGCTGTTGGATTTTGGGAAATACTTATTTTCCATTATGGGGATATTCGTGAACCAGAAGGTGATGCAGTGTCCAGGTAAGTTAATATTGAAGGCGTAATTTATCGGATATCTCCAGGTAGACCTGAACATCTGTCTACCCTTAGTGGCAGCTAGCCCGCTACAGCACAACACTTTTATATGACCCCCAGACTGACTAAGACCGATAAATCCCTGTCTAAAAGCAGCACTCCTCAGAATCATGCATTTAAAAGAATCAAAGAGTCAATTATTGGGGCCTTCAAGTTCTGTCTTCATAAGGTCCGTCCCTTTTCCCTATCCACAGACCAACTTAGTGCCACCTGTCATGGCAGACCTTGCAGTAAGCCCAGCCACCGAACAGCCTATGGTCAGTCCGTCACCGGAACCGTTATATGCTAAAACCCACTAATTATATCTGCTCTGCATACTGTACCCTGTGAAATTCAGAGACTTCCTAGGGGTCAGCGTATTAGTTTCCTGCACTAAAAATATGTACTAATGCGGCGGAAGTTTCAACTACAACACACTGTCTAACCCGGAGTCTTGCAGAGCCTTCTGTTCCAGAATCTTGGTGGATTTGTCAGTGGACGTGCTGCTTACCGTCAGCTGGAAGCTAAGAGAGCTGCGTCGCAGTGCATACGCTCAGCAAGTACGCTCACTGCAATATCTGCTATAGTTAAGCTATAGCAGAGGGGATGGCCGAACCATCACTGGAAGCTTCATATCTTTCCAGTGAGTATCATCACATACAGAAAGCCGCAATTTGTTGGCAGCTTCTGGCCCGAACCTATGGTTCTTCTTATATCGGCCATAACAGGGGAAGGCATCGGAAGGCAGACTGTCAAGCCGAAGGCATCAGACGCACTGTGGTACAGTATTTGAATTTCTTTACCCAATATACCCTATACCCACCCGAATACCTCGGAGTGGTTTGATTCCCTCCCTTGTCCAGAATGGCTCATGGTACAAAAGTGCAGTCTTCCACTCGTTTCTCTCCTGCGCTTGTCTACATTAAGACCCCCTTCGTCAACCTGACGTTAGACGTTAGGTATGGTTAGCAGAAGCCACGCCCGCACGTCCGCAGCCTCAAGCTTCTTTACACAGCTCGCGGCAGCACGCGAATGCATGCGACCGAAGGGAGATGTTAGAAAGTGCGATAAATGACGTCCACTAGCCACTTTCGGATGGCGTGCAAATTCACCGAGACCTTGTCGCCTGGGTTGAAGGTCGCACGAGAGCGGGTTGCAGAAGAAGTTTGTTGTTCGACTTGGAAGAACATTTGATCTCGGTTCTCCGACCGATGCTTTGGCCTCCACTGTCAAGCTACCTTCAACTTGGATATTCTATCGTACGAATAGTTTTGTCTTTCTACGGAATTGTGTCAAATAATCTTGAACGTCCAACACAAGGAGTCAGCAACCTTGTTGTTCCCAACACCTTCGAGAAACTGAGATTACTTGTGAAACAATTAGTGAAGGCCTAAGATAACGAGAATGTTACGTCATTTCTCCAGGCAGATGCAACCTGAATGGCTTTTGAATATCATTTGAGCAAAGTTATTCCTCGCAAACATCCAAAGATCATCCTTGCCTGTTTTGCAACTACTGCAGGCACCCGCATGAAAGTCCAGCTTACGGTTGGGGCGCGTCTAACTATTCAGTGTTTGCGGGCTCTCTGCAACATTTCCTACTCCTACCCTTGTGTGCCAGCTATCCCTGTTGCCGTCTTCTAGTTTATCTATTCTGCCTATATAGAGTTCCGTCCAATGTTGCGTACAACATTTCCTCCTTTCTGAACAGCTTGCGACATCAGCCATTGCAAATGCGACTCATGCTGCTCTCACGAACCATCTCTACGCGTTTCACCGGAGTGGCAAGCCCAGCCAGCAATGCCAGCTGCCCCAAAGATCACAGCACTGCAGAAAACAAGGAGTTATTTCCCTCCGACAATGCTCTCACCAACCTCAGCACCAGCTCTTCAGGTATCTTGGCAA